ATTTCTTAGAAGTTGTCAAATTTATTTCAAAAAAGATTTTTGTAATATACTTTCTATATCCTTTTAAATTCTGTAAAACCTGTGGTAATGACTTCTAGATCTTGATATTATATTTTTTAAAATGTATAATTGATACTGTGTAATAGGAAGAAAAAGTCTAAAGGAGCAGGGGAAGTGGGTGAGGTAGGGGAAAGGAAAAAAGAAAAAAGATATGAGAAAGGAAAAAATTGGAAACAAATTCTTTATAAATAGGGGTGAAGGGACAGCAGGGGAAGGGGATGAAAAATAAGAGCCAAGATATTCACATAATGGTACAAGATCCCAATGATGAATGTAACTGTATTATATACCTAAAATGTGCCAATAAACTTAATGGAAAAAAAAAGAATTTTACCAAAAATTTTGGGGGAAACTAACACTAAAATTCCTCAAACTCTTCCCTGAAATTTAAAAGAAAAAAGCACTGACAACCTCACTGCTGGAAGCTAGCGTTACTCTTATACCAAAACTAGACTGACTCAATGAAAGATAAAAACTACAGCCAAGTTCCTTAGTAAATACAGATTCAAAAAACAAATTGTAAACAAGACACCCATAAACAGAATGAAACAAATTATTAAAAATAATACATCATAACCAAGTTAGCTTCATACCAAGGATGCAAGGATGGTTCAACATGTGTAAATCAATAAACATAATGCATCACATAAATAAAGCAAGAATAAGAATCATCTGATCAAATCAATAGGTGCAGAAAAAAAAGCCTTTGACACAATCCAACATTTATTCATGATAAAAAAACTCTGATGAAAATAAGTATAAAAGGACCTTACCTCAAACTGATAAAAGGCCATTTATGACAAATCCACTGTTAACATTCTACTAAATGGGGAAAAACTGAAAGCATTGTCTCTAAACTCTGAAACAAGACAAGGACGGCCACTGTCTCCATTCATGTTCTACATAGTACCCAAAAAATTAGCCAAAGCAGTCAATCCAGAAAAAGGAATAAAAGCAAAACCAGTAAGCTAGGAAGTGGCCAAACCATCCTTATTCACAGATGATATGATCTGTAAGAGAAGACCCAAAAAGCTCAACCAGAAGAATCGTAGAACTAATGAACAAGTATGACACACTGGCAGGATATAAAATTAATATCCAAAAATCAATAGCAATGCTGTGTACCAACCAGGAACTGAACTTCAAGAAACTTATGAGGAAATAAATCAGGAAGTCAATACCATTCAGGGCAGGTTTAAAAGAATAAATATTACCAGAAATAACATGTAGATTTAATGCTATTCCAATTGAATTACAATTATCATTCTTCATGAAACCAGAAAGAAACCCTCTAAATTTTGCATATAATCAGAAGAGACTCGGCATAGGCAACACAATCATGAGGCACAAGAGCAAAGCAAGGGGCATCACAATCCAAGATTCCAAGTTACACTACAAAGCTACAGTGAAAAAAATAGCATGGTACTGGAACAAGAACTAGATATGCTGATCAATGGGATAGAATTGAGCATGCAGAAACAACTCCATGCACCTTCACTCAAATATTATAATTATTTTTTAAATGGACCAAAAGCACACAGTAGAGAAGAGAAAACATCTTTAAAATATTGCTGAGGAAATTGGTTATCCACATGCAGATGAATGAAACTAGACTAATATCTCTCACAAGCAAATTGGACCATAGATCTAGATATAAAACAAGTGGTAACTTACTGAATGGCAAAAACTTGTTGCCAGGTACACCCCCCAAAGGGTTAAAATTTAGGATATAACAAAAATAGAAAAATTAGATACTCAAAATGAAAAGACTCAATGAGAAAAAGTACAAATAAGCAATAAATACATGAAAAAATATTCACCATCTTTGGGTATTTCAGAAATACAAATCAAAACAACACTGACAATCCATCATATCCCAATAAGAAGCCCATCAGCAAGGACTCAAAAAACAAATGCTAGCGAGCATGTGGGAGAAAAAGAGCACTTCTATATTGTTACAGGAAATGTCAAGTAATATAATCACTAAGGAAATAAGTCTAAATATGCTTTTGAAAGGTAAAAATAAAAGTTGAATTTGACCCAAGTAATAATCCTCTAGGTATCTTCATGAAACTGTTAAAGAAATTATATCACAGTGACATATGTATTCCCATGTTTATAGGAACTCAATACACAACAGCTAAATTACAGAAGTGGCCTATATGTTATTCACCCATAAAAATTGAATCATGAATAAATAGAAAATCTGAATAGACTAATAATGAACAATAAGTTTGAATCAGTAATAAAAAGTCTCCCATCAAAGAAAAGCCCTAGACCTGATGGCTTCATTGTAGTTTATAGCAAACATTTTAATATGAACTAATGTAATTCTTCTCAACCATAAAAATTAGAGAAATAATCTTTCCAAACTCATCTGAGGAGGCCAGCATCATCTTGATACTGAAGCCAGATAAGGATTCAACAAGAATAAAACAAAAGAAGCTACAGGCCAATATCCATGATAATTTCATGAGGAACATTGATGAGAATTGTAATGACATGGAAATATATCATAGAGTCACTTTGAAAGCATAATATAAAGATATATATTACAATTATCTTAACTATATATACAATTATCTTAACTATATATCCATGAGAGATATAAAATATTAAAAATCAACATATTCAAATTTTAAACACTGTATACAAATAGTAATCTCTAACCCAGCGATTCTACTACAGGTTTCTCTCTATAGCCATATCCACACACATCTGTTCTCTTTCCACCTCTGCAGGCCGCTTCACATTGGGAAGCAGAATGCCTTTCCTGGTGACATCTGGGACATAACTGGGCATGCTCCAATAGTTCTATCTGCTTCCACTAGGCGGCAGAAGTAGGCCTGACCACAGGAGGCCACAGCCTGCTTTGTTTTCCTAGAGGAAACTTTCCCCAGGGCAAGCGCTGTATCTTTCTGTGTTACCCTTGCCAGATTCCTCTTGAAAATGAACTGACTGCAAGAAACAAATTCTTTCCAAGCGTTCTGGCTTAGTGGAAGTTGTGGACTTCTAGATTCTAAAATGGATCCATCTGACCATTCCTGCAGGGGAATAGAAGTAGCATGTGAATCTGGGATGAGATAGTTAAGAAGTATGCACCTTTTCTCACCACTCTCTCCTTTGGTTGATTATGACCAGGCTTTAGAATGGCAGAAACACAAGATGGAAAAGAACTTATTCATGAAACAAAATGTTGAATTAAACTTTCAGTCAATCATAGTCACCTGCTTGGACAGTTATATGAAAGAGAAATGATTTCTACTGTAACAAATATTGCAATTTGGGTCTATACTTTATATCTTCTAGTTCCACTCTTGCCTTGGCTAGTGCAGTCTGTTGAAACATAAAGGAGTTATGGTCATTCAGACACTAACCAGGGTAAGGGGTCTAAAACTTTATAGAAGGAGAGTATCACAGAAGAAATTGGGTCGGTGGCAGAAATAAACAGCCTTAGAATGACATTGCTGGTGACATGTCCCTCAGGGCAAGGCATTTGTACAAGATGCCAGGGAACACCAGAAAGGGAAAGCCACACTTGACCAGCAGCTATTAGAATACTTCTAAAATTGTGCCAGTATATTCTCAAAATGACCCAAAATTCTCCAAGAAAAGAGAGTAAGAGTTGAGAATGAGGTTAACTGGAAGTGCAAATCCAAACCACGAAAATGAATATATGTTACCTCTATTGTTCCAAAATATTATGCGTTTTGGAGGGAGCACTTCTGAAATTTGCAGGGAATAGAATCAAAGCCAACAGAATGATTTTCCTTTCAGAGCAGTTTTTCTGAATCCAAGTGTGCAAACAGCAGAGGGAGTCTGTGCAAGAGGTGTGAGCAGAGGAAAAGCGAGTTTGTAAACAAAATTCAGCGGCAGCATACAGATGGGAGGTTTCAGCAGAACTTCTGTGCAATGTAGCAACTTAGCCAAGAACTGCTAAAATTGTGAAATGCTGAGAGGGAATAAAAGTCATAATGAGAATTAAAGTAAATGTGCCTATAATGTTGAATTCAAATGATAAATATGGTGGCCAATGTGATTATTTTTATCCCCAAATGCACATTCCATTTCTCTCATCTGAGCCAGTCAGTTCCCACCAAGGAGATAAACTCTGAATGATCTTTCTAACCTAGAATATGGCCTGAGGTGATTTTTCTCATCACGTAGGCAACTATTTGATCATTATAAGGGCAGGAAATGTGTTGAATTCACTCCAAATGGAACAATAGTTTGAATGATGATTCCGAGGCCAGGAAGTTCAAACACATGGCATTACAGTGAAGATCAACTAGATGACCTCTATCTCGTGGTCTTCAGAAGCTTACTGAACTCCCGTGCCCTGAGCATACTTTGCTCTGAGGACGATGACTGTGATGCCTACTTAAGAGATGCTCACCTTGTTATTGTGTTCACCCCACATTATCAGTTTATCATTTAAGGAAAAGTGCAGAGTCCTGTGAGACTCAAAGATGAACTCTCCAACTTTCACTTGAGCTTTAGTACCATTCAGCAAAGACTGATATTTAAAAATGTCAAGCTTCATCGTTGCAATTCTCTCATTGGCAATGTTCTGTTTACCACCACTTCTTTCAAGTTGGGATTTTTGCAAAAATGGATGAAGCTAAAAGTGAAAAATAGTTGTCAGAACTTTAGGAAGCGAGGCACAGAGGTAGGAATAAAACTTATTACTTCAACAGCCCTCTATTCCTCTAATTATATGTTCTAACAAATTACTTTTATTGAATTATCTGTCAAACTTTATATAGGGCTTAATATCTTCCAGATGTGGAATATATAAAATATTATATATAATATTATATACATATATAAAAATATATATAAATATATTCTTCAGGGTTGCTAGACCAGAAAGCAAATCTTAACCAGTTTAGAAACTGAAACTATATGAAATATCCTTTCTGATCCTAAGGTATGAAAGTAGAAATAAATAATAAGAAATTGGAATTTCACAAATATATGAAATTTAACATGTTCCTCAAGAGCCAGTGGACCAAAAAAGAAATCTAAAAACTAATAGAATAAACTTATCTTGAAACAAAGATGTAAAGCCAGCATGTGAAACTTAAGAGATAAACCAAAAACAGTTCTAGAAAGAAAATTTACAATAATAAATACATTAAGAATAAGGAAAAAATCTCAATATAATGTTGCACTTCTAGGAATTAGAAAAAAACAATAAGCTAAATATGAAGTTAGCAGAAGGAAATTAATATCAGACCAGAAATATATCACATGACAAAAGAAAGAAAAATGATAAATTAAAGTGAGAAGATTTTAAAAGATAAAACAATAAAC